CTGTCCCAACTAGTGAATCAACACTTGATTTATTTAAAGAAGTGGTCACTGCAGTTGTGGGAAAATATTAGGAAAAAAATAGGTATATTAGATTTCAAATAATTTCACTTTCTTTGGTAAATTATATGGGTCTGTTTGCATTCTACGTGATAGAATTACAGTAATATAAACTAGAAAAGGTAAGACTTAAACAAAAAATACACAAATACAAAACACTTTTCCATGGAGGCCTAAGCATCAATTACTTTAACATAGGTGTCTGTAGGTGTCAAGTGATAAAATGTGCACAAAAAAGCAAAGTCTGTGATTATGTATTTGGGCCAAACATTACGATCTAAGTACAGAAGGACAGAATTTACATCCTATAATGTCACATGTATTTTGATCTAATCTCAGGTTGCTGCAGATGGTGAGGCACAGTGAAGTTTTCTTCTAAAATCGAATAAAGATTTTTCATGAAGAACCTATAGTATAAATGTTGTTCAGATTATCCATACTTTCAGTAAGATACTTGCTGTCTTTTAACATTATGACTACTAATTATATTTATTCATGTTTCCTCCAGAACATCCATTGTCCAATTGAATGCTTCTATCCCTTACATCTACACTCAGATGCACAGATCCAACGTGGAGATTAATTATCAAGATTTTAACATCAAGCAAAAAGAGGTCGCAGCCAAGACTATCACTATAAATGCTGCTGGGAGAAAGCAGATCTATATTATCTTGTGGTAATGAAAGCATTCAGCTATCTTATTTGGGCTTCATAAAAACTGGATGACCACAGGTTTGTTAGCAAAGAGATACAAAACACTTTAGATTCTTTTCTGTCCTCTGGTGGTCATCTGGATTTTCCTATCCCAGGCCTGACTGATAAGCCTTAGAACAGCTGCACTTCTCCACTTTTGCTCAGTTCACAGCTTGTCCAAAGGAAACTAATCCTGGTGCATTTCAAATCTTCTTTTCAGCAAGGAAGCAGATATGCTGTCCATTCTTTTCTCAAAGTCCTTCAATATTGTTCCATATTTTCCTTAAAGCAACTATTGCTAATAATGCTCAGCAATTTGTAAGCACCCTCGGGCCCATAAAAAATTGGAGAGAAAATACTGAATACTCAAATGAAAATCCAAAAGAGAAATATGTTCTGCTAACATGCAGGCGTCAATAGGAACTACATATCCTATTACTGTGGTATTTATAATATGCACAGCCTTAATCTTTATAAATTATCCTAATTTTCCCCCCTAGCGGTATATATGTAACTCGTACTGTTATTTATCAACATCAATTTCCTTCTATACCTCCCCCCTTCATCTCTAAATGTCTTTATATTTTTCTACAAGAAAATACATTAAAGACATTTAGTATACTGTTGACAGAAAAATTTGATATAATGATGGTCAGTGATTATTTTTTATACTGTAAGTGCCAAAGCTTTCTGCTGAGAGACAATTCTTTTAATAAAAGGTTTCACCAAACTGTTAAGTATTGTCTGGTTTTTTTTCTAATTAATCTGAGCTCAGCAATCTGTAATCATTTCTGACACCACTGTTATACTTAGCAGCCCACAGAAACAGAATGGAACTAAAGAGAACCAATATTAGGTATTCTAGTTAGCCATTGAAAGTTTGCTAAATTCTTTAATTCCCTATTTTTTTCCCTCAAAATAAAGCTCCAAAGGAAATTAGATTGATAATAGATTATTGCCCCATTATTGCCCAGTCAGCTGTCTACCTGACTGGAAGTTTTAACTGTCTTTTTAAACATGCACATTTTGGTCCATCCACATAGGAACCAGAATGGAAAAGTAAATTTCTGTGAGTCAATTATTAGGAATTATTAAGACTTCTGGAATCATAGAGGGATAGCGCTATTATATTCACCTATAAATGAGTGATAAAGTATGCCTATTCAGTGCCCAAGATTCTGGAATCTAGCCCTTTTCCTTGCACTAGATGTGACTGTGACAACCTTTCTTGGCTGTAAGCAGTCTTCAAGAGCTTGAGCCTATTGTGCAGTTCTCTTTAAGGGAGACCTTGACAGGAGCAGTGTACATGTCAATGCTCAGTCCAAAGCACCTTCTCAGTTCAAAGGTGCTTCACATCCCTTGGTACAATATATACTCAATATACTCCAATATACCAAATTGGAGAAGTTGCCTATGACCTTATATTTCAGTAAACTTTCCCATTTCCTTGTCAGGTGAGGGAGTCAAAACATTTTCTGGACTCAACATCTGCTGGCATTTTAGCAGGTCAGGCTACAAGGTTTGATCAACTTGAGAGACTTGAGATTTTGTGATTCATGTACATATCTTACCCAATTTATAGTACATAGCTGTATCTCACTGGTCTACACAGGTGTCAAGCGTGAGAAATCAGGAAAATCAGGCAGTTCAAATAAAGATTAATTGCAAACTTAAGCTCTCTACAAGAATCTGAATTACTGTCAAAGCAAATTGGCAGTAGATAAAGAGTTAATGGAATTCAAGGTTGGCTCTCTTTTGAGGGGACTTGAGACTCATGATACGTTTGACCCCCCTCCTTCGAGGGGCATCCAGCATGTATTTAGAACAGCTGCAATGCTCATGTGATCATCAGTAGACCTTCCAGGCCAGCTTTTTACAGTCAATAGAAGCAGCTGAATTCACTAAACAATTGCATGACTCATTTAAATGCAGTGATTCACTTGATTGTGGCAAAAAAGGTCATAAAAGTGGGCATCACACACTTAACACCCATCTTGCTTAGCACCAGAAATTCTGGTCCCAACTATCATAACTCAAGGACTATCTTTACAGATCAGATTGTGATGGGGAAAGAGAATGAATTTTAGGGCTCCACCCCAAGTTTCTTCCGAGTAAATCACTGGGAAAGCAGAAGTGTGAGATGAGAGGTCGAAGTATACAACACACCTCCGGTGATAATCCAATAGCTGGAGTTGAGAAAGCAGATGGAGTGATGTTCCAATAAATTCATGGTCTTTGTATTAGGGAGGAAGAAGTTTTGAGAGAACAACATTAAGAATTCCAAAACCAAGCAAAGATTCCAAGTTTAACATTCAGAATAATAGGGCTGGAAGGGGCCTTAGGTTTGAAGGCTTAGAAGCCTTATAACATCCCAGTCAAATGGTTGGCAAACCTCCAGTGATGGGAGTACCCACAATCCAGGAGGGATTTATTTTCCATTGATCTATCAGAAAATTTCTCACGTCTAGGTTGAATCTCTCTTTAAAAAGCTTCCACTCATTACTTTTTATCCTGCCCTCTGGTGCCTTAAAGAATAAGTCCCCTCTTATTGGTGACAGCCCCTCGAATGTTGGAAGAGAGTTATGTCCCCCCATGTCCCCCTTTGATAGGTTAAACATACCCAACTCCCTCCACCATTCATCACATGGTTTAGCTCCAGATCTTTTATCAAGTTTGTTGCTCTTTTCTGCACTTTTTCCAGGATCTCAACACCATTTTTGTATTGTATTCCAAGTGTGCCCTCATTAGTGCAATATAAAACAGTAAAGCAACATTGGTGCGGTATAAAGAAGTACTATCACTTTTTGTGATCTTGATGCAGTTTGGGACTATGCTGGCTTTTAGGGAAGTTGCAGTACACTGCTGTCTTATACGTACCGGTACTTAGTGGTCCACTAGTCTTCAACCTTGGCAACTTTAAGACTTAGGGACTTCAACTCCCAGAGTTCCTCAGCCAGCAAAGGGAGTTGAAGTCCACAAGTCTTAAAGTAGTCCAAGATTGGAGACCCCTGCACTAGGATACATCCCTGACAGTTACTACTGTTGAGCCAGGTACCTATTCCTATGATGGCGAACCTGTGGAACACATGCCACAAGTGGAATGCAGAGCCATTTGTGCCGGCACGCAAGCTGCAGGCAAACTTACCTCACTGCACGTGTGTGCGTCTCACAGCTGATTTTTCGGCTGGTTTGAGGCCTTTTCCGGCCTCCCAGCGGCTTGAAAAAAGCCTCTGCAGGATTTGCAGGCTGAATAATAGGCCTGTTTTGTCACTTCCTGTAATATCAGAAGTGACGAAATGGGCCTATTATTTGTCCTGCAAAGCCTTTTTTCAAGCCTCTGGAGGCCGATAAAGGCCTCAAACCAGCCAAAAATCAGCTGCAAGGTGCAGTGCAGGTAAGGGGGCAGCGGCAGGGGCAATTGTGCGTGCATGCGCAGGATGCGTGGGAGGGCACACGTTGCCTTCTGGGTGCAGGTGCACAAGCGCGCGCACAATTTTTGGCATAGGAGCCCAAAAAGGTTAGCCACCACTTACCTATTCTGTACCTATGCCTCTGGGTTTTCCTGCCTAAGTACAGGAACGTACTTTTCTTACCACTGAACTGCATCTTATTACTTAAGGCTCAGTATTCAACTCTGTCAAGGTGCTTCTAGATCTTGAGTCCATCTTCCAAAGTATTAGCTATTCATTAAAACATTAAATCCTTTGTTTCAAAGGACAAGAATACACAATGGAGATTTTCAAAGTAAGACAAGGAAATTAATACAACATACAAACAATCCTTTAAAAGTAATGTAAGTTTGTATGGTGACACACAAAAAGGCTCCCATCTTACAGCTCCGCTTAATAGAGGGGTTTTTTGTGTTCGTGTGTGTGCCTTCAGGTCAGTCTTGACTCTTGGGACTGCTTTGACAAATCTCTGTAGTTTTCTGGCACCAATTTCAGATGAGATGGACACATCTACAAATAATACTAAAGTGATGCCAACATCCTCCTTCCCCATTTCTTACACTAGTTTCTCTGCACAATTGTTCCATCCAGGAATCATCCTATTTCTTTCCGCATGGAATCAATTTCAGGAGAAACTGCCATTCTACTGTTAATGAACAACTTAGTTAGGTTCACTAATTTAAAAGAACACATTTCCAATATGTACAATCCTTATCTGAGAATGATAAAAAGCAGTGAGTGATTTTATGTGCCGATGAAAACCACCCCCATGCCAAGTTCTTAAAGAATTCAGATTCACTATTGATAGTTTTGCCCTTTTATTTTTCAAGAAATTTTCATACTTTTATCTTATTTTAGTCCTCTCAACATGTGCAGATTTTAGCAGATTGTGTAAAGAAGATGTTTCAAAAATACTGATTTTTAAATATCAGTGGTGAAACAGGCGAAGGTTGGTATGAATAAGACTTATTCCCAGTTCATCACAAGCTTCAATCACAACTTGGTCAGCAGTAGAACCAGACGGGGAAACAATGAACTGGACTCCACTCTGAGAAAGGAAAACACAGTTGTTAAGTGAATCACTTCAATTATTATGTTAATAATACTTATAGTTCTTAAGTGAATCTGGCTTCCCCATTGACTTTGTTTGTCAGATCTCAAAAGGGGAATCACATAACAATGAGCCACTGAGTCAGTTGCTAAGTGTCTGAATTTTGATCAGATGACCATGGAGATGGTAGAACAGTTTTAAGCGTAAAAAATGGTCATGTTACTTTTTTCAATGCCATTATAACTTCAAATGGTCGCTAACCAAACTGTTGTAAGTTGAAGAGTACCTTGTACTCAACTCAAGGGCCCAGTTAAGTGATACACTTCTCTCCCCCTTCAGACAACATAGAAACAGGCACGTAGGATCAGTATACCAATTACATTTCAACCCATATTCCCTAATGACTGCAACCCCGTAGTTTCTTATAAACATTGGATACTATCAAAGAAAGACAGTATCCTGGGGCATGCCATAGTAAGACTCCAGACTCCAAACCAATCTTAGTACAAATCTTGGGAACATACTATTAAAAGCATAAGTATTACACAAATGTGCCGCCCAATTCATACAAGTGATCAATTCTGTCAACTGACTCAAAAGCCAGAGGAAAACCAAATGAGAATCACATGGATTATTTCTCTCCTGTAAAAGTCAACTAAATCAAGGCCATTTTTTTTTTCACATAATCCAGATGAAACACAGTCATGGCTTTACAGGATTATTTGTCTCAAGTATGCTTTCAGTTGGATCACCACCCTCCTCTGGATTCCCTTACCCAGAAAAAGATATTTGCCTTTTTGGTCCAGAACAATCAAATCTCCTGAAAAGAGTAGTCAAAGCACTGCCTCTTTATGTGAAGAAGAACCACCTCTTAAGAGCCGTGGTTAGAATGCAGCACTTCAGGCTGCTTCTGCTGCCAGCTGCCTGTAATTTGGCAGCACGAATCTCATTGGGCTCAAGGTTGACTCAGCCTTCCATCCTTCCGAGGTGGGTAAAATGAGGACCCAGGTTGTTGGGGGCAATATGCTGACTCTGTAAACCCCTTAGAGATGGTTGTAAAGCACTGTAAAGCGGTATGTAAGTCTAAGTGCTATTGCTAATGCAATAAAGCATTCAACCTCCTTCTTTGAGATTGCTTAATTGGCCAAGATGACCATATTATTGGGCAAGAGTCAACAAGTCTGGATCTTCAGCTTGCAAAACTGTTCCTTCAAGACTAGAAAAATGGAGTGTCTGCTTCAGATACTCCATTTGGATCTGAAACAATGGTGGCAACTTAACTAATTATGGATTATTTTACTTTGGTATGTCTCGCAAATCTCTGCGTATCACATGACATAGTGGGCCTTTCATGGGTATAATACTAATCTGCATGTAACTTTTAAAAGTTCTGTAGATTTGTTACTTGAGAATGCAATGAAGCCTCAAGAAAGTCCTTTTTACCACCCTCATTGTAATAGAGCAGGTGCAATAACCTAATATTTCATTTAACCTCAGTAGCATTCTGCACACTAACCTCTTTGCTTTTCTGATTGCAGTATTAGCAAAAATCTCAGCATTGGTGAAGGGCACTGGCAGCAATCATGTCAATTGCCCATAACATCCCACTGCATCCCATAATTTCAGAGGAAAAAATATTTTAATGTGTTTCCTAGTCCTGCATATTTCACCCCAAAATGGTAGGAACATTACAAATGAGTGATTTCAATCCTAATTACATTCTATCCCAACACCTGAGGCAAAATGTCATGCCCCTGTCAGAGTCTGAATTCAAGGAGGAAGACGAACAGCTGACATGGAGTGGGAGTGTGGCTTTGTTGGCTGTGGAGGAAACTGGGGAAGGGCAAAGTCCGGCTGGGCAGAGCGAGTTCAGAGGAAGACCCAGGCCCACCCACTCTTCATCCTAGGGCAATGGAGAAGAGAGCAACGTGGGTTGCATGGCTTACGGGGGAGGAAAGGGCCACGATTCCCTTCATTAAGACACAGCTGGAAAGAAAGTTTAAAAGAAACGCATGCTGAGTACGGCAGCTGCTGAGAGCAAACATGAGTTTATCTTGTGTTGTCTTTGGTTATGTGTTCCTGGCATCCTCCCAACTGTGTTGGGTTACTGGCATGCTTTCACGTCTGGAATTCTTGCTCCTGCCCTGCCGGACTAATTACCTCATTTTGCCTTGATGGATTTATAGTTACAGTTTTTGTTGACCACGTTTTGGACTTGATTCTATGCAACCAAAGTCTGTTCCGGAATGTGTTTTTTTCTAAGCCAGAAGGCAACCAGGACATTGGGGGCAAAGTTGGAGCTAATAAAGGGACTCCTACTGATTATCTGACTGTGTTGCCTTTGTGTCACGCCCCGGGTCATCACACAAAATCTAAGTTCAGGGTGTTATCTGTGATACACTTCTGTTACTTTTACTTTCATCTCCTTTGAGGGGTACAGTCCAAGTTGGTAACATGAGGGTTTTTTTTTAAATTTCACTAATGTCTTAAGTTAATTAATCAAGGAACTGTGCATTTGGAAATTCAGAAGATGAAATGAAGTTTGCATTTTGTGTTAGTGCTAAATTGCCAAGAGTCTGATTTGGAATTGCAGGAAGCAATGTAGATATCAGTCTGAGATCCATGTTGCTGATCATTCTCTAACACTTGTCCACAATCACCTCAGTGTGGTAATCTAGCTTGCTTGCTGCTTTAAGTATGTTTCAAAGAGCCAAACATTTCCATTAGAGTATGGGTAGCTGATTAAACAAGAACATTTTCTATTATGTGACTTGAACAAAAGATCACAATGTCAACTTACCTGGTTTGCTCTATCTACATTATCCCTAAAAGGGAAAAATGCATCAGAGCTTAGTGAGACACCATTTAATTTTCCAATCCAGGCCTTTTTTTCTGCTTCAGTAAGCAAACTGGGGACCTCCTCAAATTGTGCCTTCCACTTTGCAAAATCTTCACCCTGTAAAAATGTATTTTTAATCATCTGCTAGATGGAGCAAATCTCATTCATATAAACATGGCAAATACAGTGGCAATTTGTTTTATCCACCTTTTTCCTGGCCTCATAATTTGAAACAGAAGTAAGAACTGCAGCATCAGTTTTTACGGCTGGAATGTATGATATTTTAAGCCAAATGTCATAAGCTGTTTTTTAACTTTCATGAGCTCCCAACTGCCTCAAGAAATCAACAATCTGGTTGACTTGTTTTCTTATAAATTTCATTTAATATGAGTTATTTTTCAGATAAAGATAAGAACACGTTTGGTTGTTTAATACTCATTTCTGCAGAAAACAATAAAATTTACCGTGCTTTAGTGTTCCCTCTATCAACATAAACTTTTCTGGTAAAGAGAGCTCAAATAGATGAATAGTCCTGTTACTATTGGTTCTACAATATTAAGTAGGGAGTCGAGCTGTCATCTTTGGTGATCTGATGTGCCACTGCCTTACAGGATTCCTAAAAATGAAGACACGGCTCTTTCTGATGGAGCACTCTGTTGAGTCCTTAAGAATGAATTGCTATTCCATACGCCATGCCAGGTATCCTCATGCCTTCTTCGGAGGAGAATATATTTGGAAAGCCCTAAGGTTCATGTACACTCCAGGAAGCACAATATTCTTGAGGACTGTGCACCTGGCCCCTGAGGACAGTGCTAGTAAGGAGGGGAGGGGGGTATGGTAGTGCGTACTAATGGGGAAATCACAAGACATTGGTGCAAAAGATATCCCAAATATTTTTCAAAAGAGTCCCACAAATATGTGTCTTACAATAATTTGCATCTGCTATAGTCAAGTTAGATTTCACATAAATAGGCATCTTCATTGGTCTAAGGCTAATTCGGGCAGAATGCTTTGGTCTTCAATCATTAGTGATGATTCTACAAAAGGGTTCCCCCTCTCAAATGAAATTTAACTAGTTTAAGTAATTGGTACAGATAGTCCTCGAGTTATGACAGTTCACTTAGCGATGGTTCAAAGTTACGACATCCTTGCCAAAAGTACTTCCTGGTCCCAAAGTTATGTACATTACAACTGACCACAGAGAAGCTGCAACATGATCCCTGAATATACCCCCCGCTCCTGCCCTGCTGGGTCTCCACAAGCACTGGGCCTGTTTTCCTATCCTATTGGGTTTCCACATATTCCTCTGCATCCTGTCACCAATCACTCCTTCCTTTTGAAGATCTGTAGAGCTTTAGAACATGCTGGGCCACACAGCAGAAAAGCAGCCATTTTTTTCCCTCAGATGCTGTCAAAGCTGGGGGGGGGGGTTGTTTCTTAAACCTCACATTCTTACACACTTGTGTTTGCGCTACACGCGGCAGACAGAACTAGAGCACCAAGCTCTCCATTTCTTTTGCTCAAACCTTGCCAATTATACCACCACAGAGACAGAGAAATGGAGAGCTTGTTGCTCCGGTTCGGCCTGCTTTCAAGGCCGCAGTAAGGATTGAGTAGACAGGGAAGCATCTACAGGGGTCTCCCTGAGGGAGAGGACTCTCATGGGAATGCAGGCAGCTGTGGGGGGTGCCCTCCTGCAGCTGCCAGGGACTCCAGCATCCAAGGCACCAGAGGTGAGCAACCAAGGGGGGTAACAGGGCTTCCAGGCATGGCACTTGGTGGCTGCTCTGACCTGGCTCGCTGTGAGAGGTTCAGCCATCCCTGGCAACAGCACTGCTGCGAGGGACTCGATTCTTCCGCTGCCATTCTAGCTGGCTGCCCAACCACCTGTGTCCCGCCTCCTCCGGTTCAAATTAGCTTTTGAACTGCAATCCCCAAAGCGGCTCAATTTAAATCAGTTACCTAGCAGCACCTAGAGGGTGCCTGTTGCATTGCTCAGGCTGGAACCAAAGGTGGCCTACTGGGACATGATAGATCTTCTTACAGACGATTCCATCTGTGCAAAAATGAATGTGTGTAAGAACACAAGATGTGAGGGGAAAATACAGCTTTGCCAGCATCTAAGAAAAAGTCACCTACTGCAGGGCTCAGCCTGTTCTGGAGCTTTGGAGAAGGTGATTGCTAATAGGGATGGTGGTGTGGAGAAGGCACAAGCAGCTGTGGAGATCCCATGGGGTGGAAAGCGACCATGATGGGTGGGGAGATGCTGGAGACCATGTTTTTGCTACCCCTGAGGGACCACATGTGCAGTTAACTACCCATGCATTTGATTAACATATGAATTGGGGAAGGGCGGAGTTTATTTATTTAATGCGATTCAGTTAATGTTATGATCGTAATGGGTAGGCTTCATTACTACTGTAACTTGAGGACTATCAATACTTAGAATGTTCTCAATCATCATTTTTGAAAAGTGGACACATTTTTATGTAGTCCAGACAAAATCTCAGCAATTAGCAATATCGACAGCCTTTATGGGTTGATATGGAAAAACTATGAAACTGGTGTTTCCAATATTATTCTCTTCTAGTGATCCTTCCAAAGATATGTTAAATTAAAAAAAAACTTGAATAAAGTTTTCCAGGAAGATATGAAAAAAGTTACCAAAGTTACCCATCACTTCTGGAATTTAGCTGCTATGAATGACCAGAACCAGCACAAAATAATGACCTTCTGTTCTATTCCAGACTCTCCCTCAGTGTAGAAAAAGGTAATATCCAATATTGTCCCAAACCTTTGAAAAAAACAGACTAACTTCAAAAGTACTCATTCCCATTTGATCCTAATCTACCACAACCATTAGGGACGATGGATCCCTAAGCTTGTTTTGGATATGCGTAACATATTTTTGAATAAAGAAAGGATAAATTTCAATGGTTGAAACTCTTGTTTTGAAACATGCTTCATTATTATTCAAATGGTAATATGCATCAGTGTTTTCCAAATTTGGCAGCTTTGATGAGTGGACTTCAACTCCCAGAATTAGAGCCAAGCTTCTCACACTTCTGGCTGGAAATTTTGGGAGTTGAAGTCCATGTATGATTTTAAGAGTTGTTTCTATTTATGCGTCTGATTGCTTTACCTCACCAATGGTCCCAGTAACATATTGATCAATAGCATTGGAGATCTCTGCTCTTTTTACTCCAGTTTTGAACTTCATGGAAAGCACTCGTGGGTGATGTCTGAGCCACCAGAAATTTGCCTTGTCTCCAGCCAGACGGGTACAGTGGATACGGGATTGCTGCCCTGCCCCAATTCCAATCACCTAAAACACATGGAACAATATAATTAAAAGGCATATGAAAAGCTTTGTATATACTTATTCGTTATGTCATTATCACTAAACGCCATCACATTAGAGTCACATTCATTTATTTTGTTTTCCTTACAGCATTGCCAGTAGACAAGAATTTTATTATTTCAAATCACAGGTTTTCAAGTTAATAGTACAAACTGTTAACTTAGGGCAGGGGTGTCAAACTGGTGGCCTGTGGGCTGGATGCATCACATGCAGGCCACCCCCACTACACAAAGGAGAAAAACATAGTGAAACATCATGCGACAGCAGTGAGATGCTGCCAGTTTGACACCCGTGACTTAGGGCCTTTTCACTACACAACTTTTGTTAGCTCAGTTCTTGTATTTGTAAAGTTATCTTATTTCCGATAAAGTATATGCCTCTTCCAGTGTTTGCAACAGCATCCTCTGCTTTTTCAGCAGAAAATAATTGTTCAGTTGTCTCGCTTTCCAAACCTCTGTCAGGCCTTTTAGAATAAACAAATACTACAATTCCACTTAAAGGGAACATTTGTTAGGGAGCTCCTGCCTAAGCTTTTCCACTGATGTCACATTAACTGACTCTTTGGAAACTGCCTTTTACTCGTTCTATAGGCACTGCAAGAGATTCAACAGGAAGCAATCAATTATTCACAATGCAAACCGTCTCAGGATTCTCCTCTTGCAATGAAAAGGAAATTCACGGATACTTCTTCACCTCATACCTAATCCCTTAGACCAGGGGTCCCCAACCACCGGTCCGCGGAACAAGTCCTACCGGGCCGCTGGCTTGCTGGGCGCCGCCATCTTTTTTTGATGAAAAAGTGCTTCCGGTGAGCTTTTCCAGGTAGAAAGCCATTCCTACCCGGAAAAGCTCACCGGAAGCGCTGGCGCCGCCATCTTTTTCATCAAAAAAAGATGGTGCCCAGCTAATGCCGGTACCGGGCCGCGCCATAAAAAAGGTTGGGGATACCGGGCCGCGGCGTAAAAAAGGTTGGGGATCACTGCCTTAGACTACAAACTGGTCAGAGTTCTTGTTGAAATCTGCTGCAAAATTTCCTTCTTTGCTTGTATATTTAGTTCAATGCACTTTCAGCCCTATCTGTAATCTGTAAGAACAATGATTAAAAAGGGGATTCCAATAAAAGTTAAAGAGTACTCATCAAAACCCCACTGCATGCTTATAACAATATAGATCAAATACAAGCTGGAAGCTTGCTTCTTTGGGAGGAACAATAGCAGTTATTTCAATTTAGAGCTTCTGTGGTCTTTTATTGAACCAGGAATTATGGAAGAGTTTAATGGGAATGACTAATTACTTAATTATATTAGGAAAACAAAATTATTGTCAAAGTCAGTTGGAGACAGGGAGATAGAAATAGGCAAAAGTTTTGTGAATCCTTCTTCAAGAGTTACTTTCTCCAACTCAAGGGGGGAAAAGTGATATTTTAGAAATCTTTGTAAACTCAGGATTAAGTAATGCAGAGAGCACTGAGGAATATGTTACTGTGTTAACAGCCTATTCTATTGCACTGCAGCATCCCCAGAATCACATGATCAAAATTCAGACGCTTTCCAACTGGCTGATATTTATGACCTGAGATCCTGTGATTTACCTTTTGTGTTCTTCTGACAAGTAAAGGCAGTGCGGAAGCCAGATTCACTTAACCATGTTATTAACTTAAAAACTACAGTTATTTACTTAACAACTGTAGCAAGAAAAGTCGTAAAATGGGTCAAAATTCACTTAACAACTCTCTTGGTAAGTAGCAGAAATTTTGAGCTCAATTGTGGTCTTAAGTCAAGGACTACCCATAAAAGCATTTGAAGGGTGCCCAAGTAAGACTCAATCAGGTATTAGGGCCTTCTAAACCAAAGCTGCATATTTATACCATGCAAAAGAATCCATTTAAACTGAGAACTGCAAAAATACAGACTTCAGAAACCCTGATATAAATTTAGAGCCATCTGAGATACGCAAACATATGAAATTGTCTAGGATTCCTGGAATGCCTATTCATTAAGTTAAGCATTTCACGATCTCAGAACTATGAATTCTTAAAGGAACTGACTCACTGCAAGACAATGATAAAGCAAAATGAAGATGCTATAATATATCAGGGACTACTATGCCGCAAGGACACCAAATCTGAAGGCTGAACTTTATTGGAAGCTATACACATTTAGCTGGATGGGCTGGAAAATATATGAAGGAACACTAAACTTAATGAGACCATTAAGTGGAAAGACAGAGAGCAATAAACTGTAGAAGAGATATGTGGTTATGTGAATGTTTTAAAGAAGATTAAAAAAAAACCCAAGCATACAAACCCCATGTGCCCCTAAGTCCACCTAGTTAACATTTTTGAAAAGACAGAGATGTGTATGTATGTTTCTATCTCTGTTTTAAAGGTCTAAAATATGTCAAAAATTGAAATAAAATACAAATCAAACTTTTAATTCAGGGGTGTCAAACTCACAGCCCGCAAGCCGGATGCGTCACATGCTGGCCCCACCTCCATGGGAAAGGGGGAAAAAAGTCCTGATATGTCATGTGATGATGCCATGGTGACGCAAGTTTGACACTACTGTCTTAATTGAAAAAGCTTTAAGATACTCAGTCCTATCCCTTGGTGACCTCATTTGTCATATATCTCTGTAGTTCTTGCAACTTTGATCCATTCCTCTTTAACGAGCCAAATCTATGTCTGCTTTTAGGCACACCATCCACTATCACTAAACACATAATATTATTTTTAAGCTGTGGTCATTTTGTAAATATATTTGTGCCCATTAACTATCATCACTCTTGAATTCAAGCAAATTGTTGCTTATGTATAAAACCATTAAAAGTTTGCTGAACTAGGCACAAACAACACAAGAAATTAGCTAAGTAAACATGTATAGAACTCAAACATATGAGTATATGAGTCAAGTATATGAGCGTCTGGAATACTCACTTGAGATCTATCATTTCAAACTGAAAGTGTGTACATCAGCAACAGATCTTAGCCTGTTCTGGATGATTTCCTTAGTACATTTTTATTAAGTACTACGAGGGCAGCATTTACCCTGATGCCAATAAACTGAAAAGGCAAAGGCAACATATTCCTAGATGTATATTACCTATCCCCCCAGCTCCTGAAAAACCCTTTGAGGACATAAACAAATCATAGGATTCAGTGAATTGAAAAGTTCTTGATTGAGGAAAAATATGCATGTTTTTTTGAACAAGTTTGAAAATATTGGCATAAAAATAATTTTTGTTTTTAAATAAAAAGGTAGACTCTATAACTCTGAATAAATATAGTATCAGCAACAGAGATTAAGCTTGTTCAAGTCATAAACTTGCTGTGCTAAAACAGAATGGACATATGTGTTATTTCCCAGATAGTGCTTGCTTTTATTTCAATCCGACTAGAGTCTACCTTTTGCCAAATCACAGCTGCAAATTCCCTTATGATAGCATTATTTCTACAAAGACCCAAAGGGGCTCTTGCAGAGAACACATTAAGGTGAAAAAATGAAAATGCTTGAATGAGTTTTTAAAAGTTAAGTTTTATTAAAGCTCATGAAGAACGTGAGCTTGGCATGACAAAGAGAGATTAAGAGCTACCCACATGGCTTCTTTAAAAATAAATACAAACAGTAAAATGCCATTTGATGCCTTCATTTGAGAGAAAGTCCCACCATGCAATCTTGCCATTTATATTCAAGTAAACACAAAAAGGATCAAACTTTATAGTTATGAAACCTTGCTTTTCTACTTTCTTTTAAAATATTTGGAATTCTTCAATTTTCCTTTAATTGAATCAGGTGGAAAGAGCTATTTATCCCATCCAATCCAAACTACTAAATATCTAAATTATTTCAAATTAAGCAACCCTGACAGATGACTGTTTTCTGCTGATTGAATACACCTGGTGTAGGGAAGAATCACCACCTTTCTTAGTAGTTGACTTCATGGTCAAACTGCTCATATTAAGAAATATGTCCTTTCAATCAAGATCTGCCTTCCCACAAACTGGACTCAGTACAAAAGCTGGGGTTCGATCAAGCAGAAAAACTGAACTGATTACATTCTATACACTGTACTTAATGCACTTTAAAATTGCATTTGTGTTATTTTTCAGACATGTCTACTATTCAATATGCAATCAGCTAGTATTTTAAGATCTTTTTCACAAATGTCAAGCACAATATTCCATATTGCATACTTTATTTTTGGACCTAATGTCAGCCACTTAATATTCTTTTCTAATTTGAAAGACATACTTTTTGTATATGAATATTATTTTCAAACCAATTATGTACCTTTTTGATTGACATCCATTCAATTCAGTGCTTAATTAGCTTGCCAATTAAAGAACTGCAGGTTATTTTGTCAATCATTTTTCCTGACATCAAGATACAGTATGCACACTATTTATTACATAAGTTTTCTTATTAAAAAAATAAATGCGATTCTACTCTAAATCTTATTCTTGTGACATCTTTGCTGTCTAGTAGTAATTACTGTATTTAAGGGGCTTGTACATCATTAACCCCTACATAACCTGACATAGAATCCTCCTAGATAATGCCAGAAATCTGTAGTTCCTCAGATCCTCCTTTCCCCTGCTTTGCAATTTGGCACTTCAGCCATTCTTAAGAATAATTTTATTTTCATTTCAATAAATGAGGCAAGCCAATTATCTCCCCAATTATTTGGATAGATTCATGAAATTACTCTTTAAACAAGAATAGCTTAACTTCACATAATCTTCCATGATGTATACAAATGCATTTTCCAAACAGAAAGTGCTATCAGCTTTAGCTTTCAGGACAGATAAAACTAAACTCCTTTCTTTCGCCTAGTTAATGTCCCAAGATCACTATATAAAGATGGTGAGAAGACAAAGATTAAATGAGTGCAGCTAGAATTCTGATCTGAGCTACTGAAAGCCTGGAAGTCCACAACATCAGAATGTATAGACTGGGTAGGGTCTGATGATTCAGTAATTCAAAATATGAACGAAGCCTTCTTAATAGAAAGTCAGCGTTGCACTATTGTACAATATTTAGCTTAATGTATGTAAAAAATGTTTATATCAGATCTGAGAATCTGATGTTGGTGAGATGTTGTTGAACACTCAACAACTGACTATAGATCATGTTAGTTAGAACCTGCATGGATTACATTTATTTAGATTATGAGCTTTTATAGAAATCTGTAAAAGCCTTTATCACTGCTTGATATCATAGCACTCTTCATATTCTTGAAGACCATCTCACACAACAAGATGAAAACTGATATTGTCCAGGATAACAATTTATGTTGGAAATGTTAGGAACAATTTTATAACAATAAGATTGGTTTTGATAGCAATCATGTTTAAAATTGAATCAGGAAGAACAATAAAACACTCCTCTAAATGTCCCCATATACATACCTGTCCATTCTTGGCATAACAAACAGAATTAGACTGAGTATATTTAACAGCAATGGTGGCAACAATGAGATCTCTGATAGCAGAATCAGACAACTGAAACAAAGAAAGATTATTACAATGGCATCTTGGGTCTTTAAAGGGAAATGAAAACATTACCTGGTTACAGATAGTCAAGACTTACAATTAATCAGTTAACAATTCAAAGTTACGATGGCCTTGGAAAAGTGGTTTATTACAGCCATGAAGCATTTCCTGCCATCAAAAAATCCCCCACCCCCATTTACCATGTGAAGATCTAGCAAGCCATCTCCTCTCTAGCTTTTCAGCCATGTGGGCCCCTCTACAGCTCCATTTTGACCTCTGCAGGCCTCGCCCGGCACTCTGCTGGCCAAAATGGAGTTTCAGATGGGCGGACTTCCAAAGCTCCGTTTTGGCTGGCAAACTGCCGAGCAAGGCTTGCACATGCCAAAACTGAGGCTCAGAGGGGCAGGCCAAAACGCACAGGATGAATGTTGTAGAGCCTCTGCAGTTGTTCGTACGGGCAAACTACTGCTGCCGTGGTGCTGCAACATTCATCGTTTCAGGACTTGTTTGTAAACACTAGGGGGCGCTTATTGCATACTTCAAACATTTTGCTAAGGGAACGCTTGTAACCCGGGGATTACTTGTACAAAAAGTTGGACGGTTGAATTACAATAAAAATGTTTTTTTAATGGAAGGCAATTTCTTAAAATGTCAGAGATGAATTCCAGTTTAAAAAGCTTACCAATATCTTTCTTTGATGTCTATCAAATAAATAAGTCATCCAGGTCATGGTTATCCCAAAGGTGCTTTTTCTAATAGGCAACTGGACTTTCTTGGTTTTTTCCTTGAAAATATTTCGCACCTCATCCAAGAAGGTTTTCCAAAACTGATGAGAAGCGAAACATTTTAAAGGAAAAAATCCCCAAGAAAGTCCAACTGCCTTTTGGAAAAGCACCTTTGGCTCTTTATTTGTTGTATGTTTCACCAATACACTTTTCATATCCAGTTTCCTAATATTCATTGTCTACATGGCATGTATTTTAGTCAGGTGGAGCTGCAAAAGTGTGATTAGGTGATTCTGTTGAGTGCCAACTGAGTTTAAACATCTGACGTAGCTCCACAGGTGCCTAGACCCTCTGTTTGCAGATAATCCCAGTTCAAACTGGTGTCAAACCTGGTGTCTCCAATCATGGCTACCAAAGAAATCCTAAAAAGATATTTTGAATAAAATTTGCTGTCAGCGTTCCAGGGAAAATCCATTCCTGTCAGTAACTCACACGCCATCTCAAAGTACTTTTATTAGAACAGTACTTGGCACATACTGGGGAAATCCGGAACTAAATTTTCCCGGCTTCCCCACAAAGTCCCAAGCTACAACCCTTTTCCTTCATCACCAGATCACGTACACCAATCCCAAAGTAAGTTTTAATTCTTCTCTGCGCCACACTCTGTAACCTTGAACTATCAAAATAATATATTTTGTCTACTAAGAGCTATTCAATTAACATCACCCCCTCCCACTTTCTTCGACTATGTGGCAGCAATGAATTCCATAGCTGACATTTGCCAGTATTGAGGTAAATAGGAAGGTTGCTTCCTAGCTGTAATCAGTGTTAAACGTTTTTGCAGTTCTTTAAGCCATCTTGCCTTACACCTAACCAACCCAAAGTTGCTGTTGCAACTGGACCTTGATCACCAGAAAAGGCAAAATTTGAGGTTCAAAGGGCAAAATAAGGAGTATTAATTAACTTTTAGAGTTTGGTTAAACATCTGGCTTGTGTCAGAAAGAGTAAACTGTTTCATAAATCATTCTCACAGCTAATGGTCTAAGATTCTCCACCTATGATCACTCAGTAGGATAGTTTTTCATGAATGAAGGCAAATATACATATCCCAGGATAATGATGTTGAATCAAATTTGGGTCGGTCACTGGGACCAGAGATGTACTCTTCTGAGCTTTTGGACTCATGATGGAGCCCATTTTTAGGGATGGAATACGTGCTTTGGGCAGTTTTCAGAGTTGTGTTTATTTATGTGG